CAACCAAAAGCTGAAAGCAGAAATAGAAACGAATTTCTTAAGAACTAAGACAAAAATTTTAAAAAGACAAAATAATAACCCCAAAATTGGTCTATATTATGATTTAAGAAACTGAATAAAAAGAGAAAAAAAGGAGTAGATGAAACAATGTATGGAAAGAAAAAAAAAAAGAAAAAGAGACAGACATGGTGTGAGAAAGAGAATACAGACACCAAAAGAAAGGTATGGGTGTGTGTGTGTGTGTGTGTGTGTGTGTGTGTGTGTGTGTGTTTGCATGGAGGTCAGAGGACAACCATGGGTCTCAATCCTCAGGAACCATACCATTCTCTCCCCCGCCCCGCCCTGCAACTCCTCTTTCTTTTTGAGACAGTGTCTCTCACTGGCCTGGAACTCACCAAGTAGGCTAGGTTGCTAGCCAGTGATTCCCAAGGATCCACCTGACTGGGATTACAAATGTGTGTCAACAGACCCAGTTTCTTTTCTTTATGTGGGTTCTAGAGATCAAACTCAGGTCTTCATGCTTATAAGACAAGCACTTTACCAATAGAGCTACCTCCCTAGCCCTGAGAGGTGTGATTCTGAGAGCTAGAACTTGAGACAGTGGTCTGCCTCCTCTAGACACATCTTTAAGAGACAGACCACAGACTCAGATGCACAAACAAAGAGCTGTCAGGGAAACAAGAATCACAGCTGTAAAGTCAGAATAAGATTTAATTTACAAGGACATCACACTCCAAACACCTTGCAGGAAACAAGACCCATACCCTACTACAGATACCCTAAAGTCCACTATCTCCATCTGGTGGCCTTGAAGATACTGTGGTGTGCAGTTTCACAATTGCAGCCATAAACTCAGAAAAGACCCTTGGTTACTTGTCCTGTGAACAAAATTACTTTTGCATGTTTACTAGCTCTGGAGAGAGCCAGGGCTTGTTCCAATTTGTGGGAAGGTGAATTAAGAGGAAGCTGGCTGGCATGGATGGTTACCAACTCCTTGCTAGTTTTCTTGCCTTATTTTTTTTTTTCTTCAAAACACCTTGAAATTGCATGGCATATTGGCCACCTAGAGTTCTATGGTCTATAAAAAAATCTAATTTATGGCCAGGCATGATGGCACATGCCTTTAATCCCAGCACTCTGGAGGCTAAGGCAGGCAGATCTCTGTGAGATTGAGGTCAGCCTGGTCTACATAGTGGCTTCTAGGCCAGCTGGGGCTTAATGCCTTACTAAAAAAAAAAAAAAAAAAAAAAAAAAAAACAAAAACAAAAACAAAAAAAAAACAAACCTAAAAACTAAACCATGGCAGGTGTGGTGGCGCACGCCTTTAATCTCAGCACTCAGGAGGCAGAGGCAGGCGGAAGTCTGTGAGTTCAAGGCCAGCCTGGTCTATATAGTGAGTTCTAGGCCAACTGGGGCTACAGGGAGACACTGTCTCAAAAAGACAAATACACAGACACAGACACAGACACAGACACACACACACACACACACACAGACACACACTTGATTTGTTAAATGAGTTAATGTCACAAACTTCTTAGGACATGAAGGGCTAAGGCGTTTATTAAATGAATCCATGAGTGCCTTTCTTCTCATGGGCACTGTGAGTGGCAGGCAACAATGTGGACCACTCCTTCCTGCACAAAGACTTGCTTTGTGGTGACGTCCTCTCTGTCTAGTTACCCACCTGCTTCTCTACCTCTCCCATCCACAGGCAGTTCTTTCCTCTCTTCCCACTCTTTAAATGCTGATGTTGCTCAGGGCTCCATCTCAAATCATTCCTTCCTGCCCTCATGCCTTCCCACAGTGGCACTTTGCTGTTAGCGCATGCATGGTGCCCACTTAACTGCAGTCTGTACAGGAAAAAGAGATAATTAGCTCTCCTCAGCCTGACAGTTCATGAAAGGAAAATCTAAGTTCATTTTAATAATAGTTTTCCAGCGATTTGATACCAAGAATGCTAACTTAACTGAATTTTTTAACAGAAGTTTTCATCCATAGGGAAAGCTATGGTCATGGCTAAGGAGGAGGTGGGTATCTTATTAGTATGGATCTTCCCTTTCATGGGACTCCATTTCTTTGGTCAAGATGGCTGCCTTCCCATGGGAAAGAATTTAACCTCAAGATGTTTTCAGCACAACACAAGCCACCTTCATTTTATTTGCACATTTTAGGAGAGGGATATTCCAGAAAACAAGACTTCCCAGATTACCTGCCACTCAACAGCATGCCAAGGAACTTGTTCCAAAGAGCTGCCAATGCAATTGCAGGGGCAGAATATCTACACCGAAGATGGGTAGGGGGTTAGCCCAGGGGAAGAAGAGATAAAAATCAGTGGAGCTGGTCACAGGGAGGTGTTTGGAATAATAATGATCTTTTATTGAACCCCTACTATGTGCTAGCACTTGAAGCAAACTCTCTTGAGTCTAACCTCATAAGCTATGATAACAACTATGTGAAATGTCTTTTAAAAAACAAAAAAACCAAGTTCCTAGGTGTTGTGCTAGATAAGTGAGGATGCATAAATTGCAGCTATCACCCACTGCCTACCATGAATCAGGCAATGTGCAGTTGCCAGGAACATGAGTGACTAACAGGATCTGTGTAATTTCCACACTCATTGTGCTTATGGATAGAGATGTACTTGTCCAAGATGGTACCCACTAACCAGAAGCATCTATTAAAATTTTTCTCAGTCACATTAGCTGCATTTCAGCATGTGCTTAAAGGCACCAGTGGGTACAGGTCGCCAACACTGCAGAAAGTTCTGTTGGCTGGCACTGGAAAGGGGCAGAGAAAACAAAAGGCTATTGCATCCTATGTGATAAAGGCGACTGTGGAGGCTAATAGGTACAAGGGGAGAATATTGTTATCACTGCTACTATTCTTATTATAATTAAGGTGTAGAAACTAAGGCTCAGAGAGGTCAAGCACACACACAGCTGCTAACTGGAAGAGATGGGATCTGAGCCCGGGTTTGTCTCCCCCATGTTACCTCAGGTTGTTTTATGGAGTAAATGAGCCAGACACAGATAGAAATTAGTTAAAGAGAGAAGATGGAGAAGGCACCACTAATGGGAAAGTAAAATTTTGGGCAAAGGCACAGATGGATGGGCAAGACTGGGAGAGGACTACAGGTAAACCAGTCTGGCTGGAGAGACAGTGATTTGTTGAACTGGTGTCCTAGGAGAGGTAAGTTGGGACCTGCCTGCCTTGATCAAAAGCCAAGGAGCTAGGAAACTCAGTCCTCCATGAGGTTGAGCCCTTATAGGACTGTAAGCAGGAGTGGTGTGGCCAGGACCATGCCCTATGGGAAGGAGGTGCTTAGGAGCGACTGGCAATGAAAAAAGTGAGGGAAGTCAGCTAAAGATTATGAGAAGATAGAAAGGAAGAGATGAATGAAGCATGGGGGCCTAGAGATCTAAGGTTAAGATTCTATACTGTGTCCCCCTGAGTACTAAACATCACTATTCTGAACCTCATTTCTCCAACTGCAGAAAGGCACTGCTGGCCTAGGTGATCTTTGAAGTTCCTCCTATCAACAGTAGTCTGAGAGTCTGCAAAAGTGAATGGCCCTGAGCTAAGGGAAGCACCAGGGCAGCATTAAACGCTGGGGCAATGAAGGTGGTCATAAAGATCTATTCTAAGTTGAAGGAGAAATGCTGTGCTAGTAACCTAACAAGATAAGCATGTGCAAGAACGTGTATTTAATTCGGGATGTGCCTGGGATACAGGAGTAGGAGGCTAGTGAAGGAATAATGGGCTTGTTTTAAAGAAAGTTGTGCAGAGTTGGAGGTCATTATTTTACAAGCCCCAAAATTGGCTTTTAAAACTGTTTTTGACCTACGATCTACCGGTAGGAAATACAATTTACATCACGTTCAGTACATACAAGTGAAAGAAAAGGTTTATGAGAGAACACTTGACCTTACTAAGGACAATAGGCTCTAGTACTTTCTGTTGGATTCCATTTTATTCTTTTCAAAAACTGGTTGCCACTCACCGAATTTATTCTATGAACTATGCATGTGTCACGACTCAACAAGTCTTTTTAAGTTGGAGGCAATGGCAGGGCATCTTGTGCAAACATGAAGGAGGGAGCTGGAGAAGCAAACCCGGACAGGGATCTCCTACCTCGGAGAGTTTAGAAAATGTTTATCCAAAGCAGCTTCCAAGCGCGCTGAGAAAAGCTAGACCTGGGAACCAGAAGGTGGGACTCTTCCACCCGGATGATGCGGGAGAGAAAGGGCTTCGGCTAGATCTCGGTGCAGCGGGGGTCCAGGGACTACCCCGACGCCCAAGCGTGGAGGGAGCCGCTCAGGCATCCGCCCCGCCTGCATCCTTCAGGGAGGACGGCGCGCCCACTCCCTCCATTCATTCCCTTCAAGCACCAGCGAGCACCGAGCCCGAGCTGAGGGGAAGACACTTGGCCAGCCAGCGGGGCGGCTGCTAGCAAGCAGAGGATACCCCGGCCTGGCCCGCGCGCGCACTCCCACGCACGCACGCATAAAGTTGTGGCCGCCCCCGAGCGCCCGTCGGGGCCCCGGGCCAGAGCCGCGTGCTCTCGTCGGGCCCGGTTCGCACGGAAGCTCGGCTGCCCTCGGGCCGCACTCGGCCCCCACTGGCGCCCGGCTCTGCCCTTAGGCTCGGCCTTCCCCGCCTCGCATCCGTGCCATCGGCGCTCGATTGCGCGCGGACTCCCTGGGGCTCTTCCCGGCTCGCTCCCTCGCGCTCGCCCGCCCGCCCGCTCGCGCCCGGCCGAGCCGCCCCTCCTCTGCGCCCGCCCCCGCCCCTCCCCCTGCTCCTCACGGGCAACTTTTGCCGG